TAAAATCAGGAAAATGGGATAATATAACCAAATGGTTTAGTTACAAACATATAAAATTCAGGAAGTTCAATTAAACTCACACATCCTTACTGCAATATCCCAATCTCTTGGTGATATCCTTGTTGAATATCTTAGTAAGATTCGAAATCTGGCTATAGATGAGAGCTGTAACAAGTGGTACCACTTTTGGGTTCTTGGTCCGACTGTATTCATCCCCTTCCACACACCAAACCCGCCGGGAACAGCCGCCCAGAACAGTGAGCAAAATCAGAAACAAATATTGTAGTCGAGAGGCATTAATCCTCGTTCCACTCATTTCAATCATTCAAATAAACCCAATGCTCATACATAGGGAAAATCATCCAACAAATATCAGTGTGCATGTATATATTATCACTTTAGATGCGTGAAAAATGCCAATATAAAAAGAAAAAAATGGATAAGTGATAGGTGCCCAGCATTTTGAATTGGATTGTTTGAGTGTAAACTATGAGGATTTAGGAGATGAAACGGAAAGAGAAGCCTTTTTGGGCCAAATTTGGGAGGTGGAATATGGGAGTTGGGACTGGGATGGAGCTCCATGGTTTTTGGAGGAAGAATTGGCAGCGAGAAAATAATGGCTCTATTTGTGGACAAGAAATTGTGCTTACGTTTTAATGACTGGTGTGTGACTTTGCCATTAATGTTTGGCTGCCAATTTATAATCAATATCTATAATATATTAACAGAAGTGTATTCAATTAAAACTTTCACAAGTTTTGATCGATTTTTTTTAGTGATGACTTTTATAAATTTTGTTAATTTTTTGTATATTTATATGAAATTAGTGGAAGTCTTTAGTAAATTTTTATAAATTTTTATTTTAAAACTTTTATAGATTTTCGTAGAATTCATTTTTTTTTAAACTTTCGTTTGAAATAAAATTCACATAAATTTAGTGTAATAATGTGACATTCTTATATACGAAGGGATGGTTCCCACAATTTTCCTTCTCCAACGCCGTCCCTTATTCCCTCTAGTTATGGTAATCGGACTCGTCGGCTTTGACCGTCTGTAGTTCGGCTCGAAAAAAGCTCGAGCCAAACTCCATTTTGGGGTGTCGACAAAGTCCGAGTCGACCCATGTGGCTCGCTGACTCAGGACGACGAGCCTATATTTTATATAAAAAAAATAGAAAAATTTTTAAAAGGCAATAGCAAAAATAGGCAGCGGAGTGTCACGGGCCTAGTTTTGTTACACCCGAACAACTAAAACCGTGCAGCCTTAACGCTTGACAATTCCCGCACCTCACGAGAAAACGTTAAGTCAGCCTTTTCACGCTCACAAATAATTTAACCAAGAAGGCTAAATTATACCCACGTTGAGAGGAGAATTTTGAAGTAAAGGATATATGAAAAACAAGTAAGGTCGGGAAACTTTCTTTGTATATATGAAAGGGAAAACTTTACAATCTCTCTAAGGAATAAATTCACTCAACTCTACATGATTTACAAATGAGATTTCTACCTCTATTTATAGGCAAAACTTAAACCTCCTTAAGATCAAGTGGCCTTACTTTACAACCTATGCTTAGTTGTTTACAACTCGTTCTTAGTTGTCATCAAGTGGATTTGTTTACGACTTTCCTTGCAAGTTGTCGCCAACTCGATCTTAGCTTGCATAGAAGATATTATTCTTGCCAACTCGTGCTTAGCTTGCACCTTTGATAATATCTTCGCCAACTCGCGCTTAGCTCGTATCTTTGATAATATCTTGCAAGTGGCACAAGTGGACAAGTTGTGCAAGTTGCCTACTTGCACCCCAAAATATCCCGCTGCAGGTTCATGTATTTTTCCTCCAAAATGGCGGGGTCGGGATCTAGAAAAACCTCATGAAAGTCCCGAAAAGTTGCACCATTTTAGGCAGCCTGCATTCTGCCCATTCCATCCTATTGCAGCGTGCGGTTCACGCTATTTTGCGGCCACCACCGGGATGGATCGAACGCGACCGCGTGGGGCGTAAGTGGAGGCTGCCTTAAAAAAAAGCGGCACTTGATTGCCTTCATTTAACATAATAAATATAAAAAAAAACCAAATCGAGCTTGTCCAGTTCGACTCGGGAAGGTCCGAGTCAAATCTAATTTTTTTGGTCGACCTTTTCGAGCCAGAATAAAAGCTCACTCATTTTACCCAAGCCGAGTCCAAACCTTAAGTTTTGGTTCGGACTCGAGAGTCGACTCGACTCGTTGACATCTCTAATCATCTTCTCTCTCTCCCACACACACATCTGAGATAAAAAATAATAATAATAAATTTAATATTCAATATTATTAATATAACAAATCTTTTAAAAATAAATAAAAAATCAATATATTTAAATTTAATTATAAATTTGCCATATCAATTTTTGTAATTTAATAAAAAAATAGATATTTAAAAAAAAAACAAATGAAAAAAAAAAACAAATGAGTTATAAGAATCAAATTTGATTTTTTTCTTTTAAATAGAAAATAGAAATAAACAATAAGAGAGACAAAAAGAATATAAACAAATATAATGAGTAGAAAAAATAGATTTTGATCATAACTCTAATATTCGTAGAAGTAAAAAAAAAAAAAAAAAAAGAGAAATATTTAAAAAAAATGCATTTTTTTATGAAAGTCCCCAAAATCTTGTAATTAAGGAGAAACAAATTTTGAGATTTTATGTGAGTGGTTTTTACTTAAAAGTTAGTATCCCAAAAACTTTTATAAAAGTTTCTAGAGATCATTAAAATTTGAATACCTCAAAACTTATAAAAATTTGTAAAAAAACTAATTGAATACACCATGACTTCTGGAAATTTTTTAAAAGTTTATAAAAGTCTCAATTGAATATATCAATATTTTTAGAGAGTTTTAAAAAATTTACATTGAATACATCTAAACTTTTTAAATCTCGAAAAATCATTAAAAGTTTCAATTGAATACACCCTCTAAATATCACATTGTGTGAGAATTATTTTTTGAACGATTCTAACTTTCCTACTATTTAATTATTCCAATAATACATTATTTTTCTTTTCTCAATATGTATTTAATTTATTTAACCATTTAGTTACTATCATTGCACATGTAAATTTGACGGATTCGTTTCAGCTATATTCATTCATTAACTAATGAATTTGTATAATTAATTCTAAATTAATTAATATTCACATTTTATTTAATTAAATATTCATCTTCATTTATACATTTCAGTATTATTAATTCTAAATATAAGTTAATTAGAATGTCAAATTCAATAATGCATTTCATTAAATACGTTCATGTATGCTAATTAACATTCAATTTTACTTAATTGAAAATTAAATAAATGATTCATCAATTATTGTCCAGTATATATTTCCTTGCATTAATTTTAAATTAATTAACATTCACGCATATTCAAATATTATTTTTACAGTACCTATAAAGCATTTCAAAATAACATTCAACGTTGACTACATGTTATTTATTAATAGTTTTAGCACTAAGTTGTTTAAAAATTCGTGGCATTATAAGAGAAATAGACACGTCATCTTTTCAAAGGTATATTTGCCTCGTATTTACCAGCGCTATATAAGAATTGGCGATATAAATGATAATTTTACGACGAGCACCTAAGATTCTCAATCTCATGGAAATGCAAAAAGCTATGAGTACGAGCAAATTAGCACGATACACATTAGAGAATCACAACATCATATTCAACATTAGATAGTACTCTCAACTTCGATACATAAAATTAATTTCTGTAAAATAGATAAAGTGGAATGAGTTCCAATTACCGACTTTCCTACTTAACTCAGTTACTCAACCAACAGCTACAAGGATGCTGTCAATATTATTTTTGTTATACATAGAGATAGATAAATTGACGTGGAAAGTAATTATATTACACACATCTCAAAGAAAAGAGTACTGCCCTCTAGAATCTAGATGATCATCAAATTATGTGATAGTGAAGTCACTGCCCACATTATTCAATAAATTTTGAATGCATTTTTAGATACTTACATAACGTTATTTATCTAGATTGGTAATTGTTAAAGTATAAATAACAACACTATTGGACTTGTGAAATTGACACTTGCCCTTATATTTGAGATGTTCAAGTTCGTATCATTTAATTGACATCTATATTATTGATCATCACCAATTTAGATAAATAACATTATTCTCTATGAACAATGTCATAGTAACACGCTAACGCTACTTAAACCTATAACTATCATGATTTTAGAGTAATATAATTACTTCAAAGAAAAGGAGTAATGACTTATGATCATAAAATAAATGAACATCATCAGTAGTTATCATCACAATTCTGGACTAAATGAATTCGTTATCCAATGCATTGACCTTAAAATGCATTGACCTTAAAAGTTAACTCTATTCAACAATTGACAATGATGATCCACCAAGACCGCAAAGTCAACTTGGTCCCCCCCCAAGACCGCAAAGTCAACTTGTTCCCCCCCTCACCCCCACCCAACCCCAATATTGGCAAAAAGTTATCTTCCAATTTCAAAAGGCCAAGCAATCTTCTGCATAATATAACTATGCAATGACACACTTGACTTGATGTTAGTTTAACTGTATACACCTTCAAACTTTATATGTTTTCCAGCTTAAAATCAGTTTTCCATTTTCAAAGCAGAAATTAATGCAGAATATGAATGTAAATATTACTAGTATAAAATATTCATAAGCATAAGCTTGTTAAACAGTTCCATACATTCTACCTTTGACCCGAGGGACCAATTCTTGATGGATTTCTTAACACTAGAATTTTCTCGATCGATGGGAATTTCTTTAAGGCCGCATTCATACCTGGCTTCCAGTTTTATGTCAGACTTTTTCACTAATTTATTCATGTACAATTGTACATTTGTATATGAACATTTTCTTTATTTATCCCTCCTGTGTTTTGTATCCAAAAGTAATAAATATTTATTCCTTTAATCCAAGATGCGTAGATAAGAAGATGGGCTATATTTAATAATTGTTGGTAGACTTTTCAAAGGCACTGGTGCCGTATGCGGAAGATTTACTCACAAGTCGTTTGGCTGTCTGTCCACTAGTCTTAACTGGAAGCCTTTCTTGACTCTGTTCGACACAATTACAATTTTTTTTTTTTTTTTTTTTGGATCATTAACGGAAGCAAGAAAGAACATCAATCTGTGCCTCTGGCGGCCTACCATAAAAAAACTTAAAGGTAAAGTCTTGTTGGAGAAGATTTTTGCGCTGGCAATGAAATGTGGGTTATTAGATTTTGTGTAATATATGTGGAATAAATTTGCAAATTATTGGTCTTCTAAAAAGCTGAGAAAGATGGAGTTTTTTATTTTTTTTCTTTTTCCCCTGGAGAAGCCTGAAAGTAAAATCAATTTTAATTTCATTTTATTTTTATGAAGATGATCCAGAATTTAATACGGGTAGAGAATTATTTGTGTATATCTTGCGTCTGCGACTGAAATTTGTGCTTTAACAGTTATATTGAGAGGTTTATGAAAGAAAAAATGACTGTTAGGAGATGTGGATTTCATGTAGCATTTATTTTCTTTGATTTGATTTTTTTTTTTTTTTGAATAGTACAATCATGGCAGTAATTTAATCTGAGAACTGGGTTGTGGGCTTTGCTGGAATTCTAGGAGGTTGATTATATTTCTGAGAGAAGGATAGACTGTTTATCAAATTAACTGTTGATTTTATTCAGGGAAGCTTGTGCAAACATTTCTGATTTTTTTTTTCCTACTTTTTTTTTTTTTCCTTATATTTATTTCCTCCTTTTCTTGTTATAGTTTTGAAAGTATCTCTGTCTCAACGATTCATTTTTATGAATTCGATTACAACGAGAACCTTATTGAAATTTGGCTTGTTAAAGATTTTTTTTTTTTATTTATTTTTATTATTTTTTTATTTTTAGGGATATCTTCCATCCCAACATGTGCAGAAAATAATGTAGCAAAAATGGTTTGCGTATCCAACTCAAATAATTGGGGAACAAGGCTCAGTCTCTTGTTGTTGTAAAGGTTTATGTTTTAGGTTAAGAAGAGATTAAGCAAATAAAAGGGAAGGTTTATATTTTAGGCATGTTTAGAGTCTTTAGTTGGAGCCAAAAATTCTAGTTTCCAGATATATTCTCATGGCACTCCCTTTGAACATGGACCTAGTTGGTTAGTTTAGTTTCTTCTTGCACATTATGGTGGTTTTTCTGGTATATGTTGAGCAAACAGTTGAGAGTTCTTTTTGAAAATCAATAGCTGTTACTTTTGATTTAACGTCAAATGTTTCTATTCCCAAAGTTCAAGACAATGTAAGTGAATGGTTCGTAACTATCCATGATCATTGCCTATTTTCACTTACAAGATTATGAAGTTTTACTTCCACACATGGATTCGCAGTGAAGGTTTTGAATAGTATTAGGGCCATGAGGTGTTTCCAATTCCATAATGGAGACAAAAAGGAGGAACCAAAGACCACAAAATCAAATTCTGCCAAATCCTCATTTACTGATCGAGAAATGAGGCAATCTGGATCCGATTGTAATTCCCAGGATGTATCAGACACTAGCACTGGGTCCAGAGGAAGAAGCCAATTTCCAGTTTTGTCTGACAGGCCCAGTAATCTCAGGGCTTTTACTTTTTCTGAGCTGAAAGAGGCGACAAAAAATTTCAACCGGTCTACCAAGCTTGGAGAGGGTGGGTTTGGATGTGTTTTTAAGGGCACGGTTAATATTTCTGAAGATCCAGCTAACAAAGTTGATGTGGCAATAAAACAACTAGGTCGAAGAGGACTACAGGTAGATATCCTCTCACGTTTTTTCTTGTTCTCTAAGTTCTGATTTCATTTTCTTCTTTCTGGTATTCTCTTGTTCTAGTTTCATTATAAAAGATTGGAGGTAATGATGATTACTCTTGTAGATTTATGCAGCATAATAATATCTATTTAAATTACAAGTTTTCTCGTTTACGTCGTTGGTTGACAGCATTAAGCTATTTGAATAGAGAGTCAGACCTCTATATTTTGTAAGTCTAGATTAAGATTACTAATGTAACTATAGGAGATTCAACATGGGTTTATTTAGAATTATTTTGCTCTTCACGAAAGATGAAGACAATTTAACTATATGTTAGAGATGCTGTGTAGTATTAATTTCTTCAAATTCTTCTCCCTCCCTACCTATATGTGTGTACATGCTCCCCATACTCTTGCATATGCCCATGCGGGGCCTGCTAGAGCAAGATTTAAAAGAGGTGTCACAAGATTTCTCCTCCCTCTATCCATTTTTTTTTTTTTGGGTTAATGGCATAAAGCCAATTGAAAGCTAAGGCAATGGAATTTTAGGCCTTCTGTGTTCCATCCTGTTGTTAAGGCTAGACATTTCTTTTTCAGATGTCCAAAAGATTTGCATTCTTTTAAAAGTCAGCCTATGTTTATATTGCAATCTCATTTTTTCAATACAAAAATAGAAGATTCGAAAAGAAACAAATCATTATTTCATCGCATGTTTGAAATTTTGAATTCAAAAATAGGCCAATAAGTGAAATAACATTCTAGATCAACTTCATAACACTGCTGCATAAAAATTGGATTTTTGAAACCAAGCTAATTTTTGTTGGTTGGATGGTGTTAAATGTAAAAATTACATGGCTGCCTAAGTGGTTCAGTATTCAGAATAACTAAGGTTGGAGTAGGAAAAAGTAAATGATGACATTGCCTGAGCAAAAGATGATAAATGTGAACTTTTTTCAGGTGAAAAGAGGGAGAGCCTCACAAATAAATAGATGATTGTGCCAAAATTCAGGGTTTCTCTTTACATTCGTAAATTATTTTTTCACAACGCAATATGACTATGCAAAAATGCTATACTCACGTTTTTTCTTGTTCTCTAAGTTCTGATTTCATTTTCTTCTTTCTGGTATTCTCTTGTTCTAGTTTCATTATAAAAGATTGGAGGTAATGATGATTACTCTTGTAGATTTATGCAGCATAATAATATCTATTTAAATTACAAGTTTTCTCGTTTACGTCGTTGGTTGACAGCATTAAGCTATTTGAATAGAGAGTCAGACCTCTATATTTTGTAAGTCTAGATTAAGATTACTAATGTAACTATAGGAGATTCAACATGGGTTTATTTAGAATTATTTTGCTCTTCACGAAAGATGAAGACAATTTAACTATATGTTAGAGATGCTGTGTAGTATTAATTTCTTCAAATTCTTCTCCCTCCCTACCTATATGTGTGTACATGCTCCCCATACTCTTGCATATGCCCATGCGGGGCCTGCTAGAGCAAGATTTAAAAGAGGTGTCACAAGATTTCTCCTCCCTCTATCCATTTTTTTTTTTTTGGGTTAATGGCATAAAGCCAATTGAAAGCTAAGGCAATGGAATTTTAGGCCTTCTGTGTTCCATCCTGTTGTTAAGGCTAGACATTTCTTTTTCAGATGTCCAAAAGATTTGCATTCTTTTAAAAGTCAGCCTATGTTTATATTGCAATCTCATTTTTTCAATACAAAAATAGAAGATTCGAAAAGAAACAAATCATTATTTCATCGCATGTTTGAAATTTTGAATTCAAAAATAGGCCAATAAGTGAAATAACATTCTAGATCAACTTCATAACACTGCTGCATAAAAATTGGATTTTTGAAACCAAGCTAATTTTTGTTGGTTGGATGGTGTTAAATGTAAAAATTACATGGCTGCCTAAGTGGTTCAGTATTCAGAATAACTAAGGTTGGAGTAGGAAAAAGTAAATGATGACATTGCCTGAGCAAAAGATGATAAATGTGAACTTTTTTCAGGTGAAAAGAGGGAGAGCCTCACAAATAAATAGATGATTGTGCCAAAATTCAGGGTTTCTCTTTACATTCGTAAATTATTTTTTCACAACGCAATATGACTATGCAAAAATGCTATATTTGTAATCATGGAAAATTTTAAAAAATGGCATTCTTGCACAAGTGCCTTCAAGTTTGTGGTTAATTAGAGTTTCTTTTAGTTGATTAGACTGTATTGGAGAATGACTTCTTGCAATTAGATATTGGAGCACATTTTGCTTCTTTGGTAGAGAACTACAATCTGATTTACATGATAGGGTCATAAAGAATGGGTGACAGAAGTAAATGTCCTTGGTGTGGTTGAACATCCAAATCTTGTGAAACTCATTGGCTATTGTGCTGAGGACAATGAGAGAGGAATTGAAAGGCTTTTGGTATATGACTACATGCCTAATGGAAGCGTGGAAGATCATTTATCAGCTAGGTCAGAGACATCCCTCCCTTTGGCTATGAGGCTGAAGATAGCCCAAGATGCTGCTCGTGGCTTAGTATACCTGCATGAAGAAATGGATTTTCAGGTTATTTATCTACCTATTGAATGTTGATTGGTTTTACATGGATATATAACGGAATATGAACTTTAAGTTTTGAATAGAGATGGCAACAGTTTGGTTCGGCCAAAACCATTACCGAACCGTCAAATTTTTTATCATACCATAACTGCATCATAACCATGGAAATCGGTTTGGTTCAGTTTGTATCTCGGTTCAACTTGGTTCAGTTCGATTAATAACCACGAAAATAAATTAATTTTTATAACAATTTATGAGAAGAGAGTCAATGAAAACAAAAACACAATATTACAAACGAAAATGCAAACATTATTCCAAATTTCAATTGCAAAATACAAATTTAACAAATAATATTATGAATATAACAATAATAAGCTTTTCCTTCATTCTTGATTCTTGTGCATTGTAGTTACTTGATTCATGCTCAATAATTCAAAAACTTCAACTTTAACTTATATTCAATCTTCATTTTTTCCCACAACTCTTATTAGCATAGGTCTGCACTCAAAATTTGATTCCTATATAATAAATAAGAAATATAAGTAGAAAATACATCGATACTATCTAATCCAGAATGGTTTTAACTAAGATTTAAATAAAAAAATGTACCTCTTTCTCAACTTCCTACTCACTAAACCTTGCCATCTCTAATAAAAGAATGAATTTTTTAAGCGGCTAATCGGTTCGGTTTCAGGTCGACGGCATAAATACCATACTCGCACCGTCACGAACTGGTTCATTAAAATTAAATGCCATATCCGCTCCATTGCACCTTCGATTCGATTTTTTCACCTCATTCGGTTCGGTTAACCGCGGTTTTCGATTTTAACGGTTCAAATTGTCATCCCTAGTTTTGAAGTAAAATTTGCAACCCTGCTGTCATGATTTTGTCTGACTTGTATCTTTTTTATACAGATCATCTTCAGAGATTTCAAGTCTTCTAATATTCTTCTAGATCAGCAATGGAATGCTAAGCTATCAGACTTTGGATTGGCTCGGTTGGGCCCTCCAGAAGGACTAACACATGTATCAACAGCGGTATGGTCAACTACATAATGTCATTATTCTCACTCTTATTAGCTGTTGGAGAAATAAAACCTTTCTGCTTGATTTAAAACTTCCAACCTTTTAGACTGGTATAAAACTGTGGAATTAAGAATTTTTTTTACCGAACTATGAACTACTGTTGCATTCGTTTCTAATGAAATTCTTTTATTTGAAAACAATGTTATGTAAAGGCAGCTCTTTTTTGTTCTGTGATGTATTGTTGACACCGTAAAACTATCCATTAATCTTTGACGAATTTGAAGACCAAAGTTTTGAATAGAATGATAATATCACACTCAGTTTTGTATAAGCATTTTAGATACCACGATGACTTAGAAATCATGCATCTTCATACCTAGGTAGATTTGCGAGTACTTTCAGGGAATATATCCTTAGTCAGGTCTAATGGTGGAGAAGCATATAGAACGTCAAAGAATTACAGTGCACTACAATGGCACTGGACCACTTGTTAATGTAGCCTAGTCCATTGTTGTAGTCCATTGTTGGGGTAAGTATTCGTTTGTTGTATTGTCATTATACAACCTAGTCCTTGTTTTGAGTATAATATAAAAAGAGATATTATTTGTCTAGAGCTTGAATTTGATTACGAAACCAAAGACACTGATATCTTGGCAGCGGTCGGAGTAAATCCTCCACCTGGAGTTTGTCAGAGGAAGCAGGGGCTACGGTACATAAATAAAATATAAAAAATGAGATTAAAGAAAATACATCGATTCCATAACATATATAAATATGTTATTTGATCATTTGTTAATGAGGCTCTATCTAAGACCTATTAATTGAGATTTGAATCTATACTAGGTTGTACAAAAAAAATAATTTTCGCATCAATCCAAAGCTACAAAAATGTTTATAAGATAACTTCCAACCATTGGGTCTTCCCGCCTCTGAATAAAATCTAATGGGATCCATAGAGACCATACCTTCATCCATAGGAAACCAAGTACCGGGTTCAATCGAAAGTTCGATTCTATCTGAATTAAGGGAGAAAAGAATTTACAAAAAAGGGATTCCTAAAAAATGTATTAATTATTTATTCGCAGAGGGGAGTTGAACTCGAGATATGTATTTAAATGGTTTGGCATCATTATAACTTAGCAATTTAGTTTGTCTATCTCTGGTAAAATCGTGAATTGCAACAAATTGCTTACCACATATAGTTCTTGTTTGAGCCCCATTTTTGTGCTAAAATGTATTCTAGAACAATGTTTTGTTGGCAAATATGTGGTTAAAAACTAAGGAAAAATTTTGAGTTTACGTGTAAAATTATTTTATAGGAGAATGTGTTGTTGAAAATTTGTGTTGAAAAATGAGTTTTTGAAAAAATGGGAGCCAAACATAGGCATAATATGTTGCACTATCGCTTGTGTATAAGGCTTCATGCATGATCTGAACTTGTACATTTCTTTCAATTGCATTTTTATGATTCTATAGAAATGCAGAGCACAATTCCTACACGTTCTATAAATATAAATAGATTCCCATCAAACGGCATGTGCTTACACAGCTTTTCTTTTGCACTCTTCTTTAGGCTTTCCGCGTGCCTGTGCAATGAATTGAAAATTTTTACTATCTAATTAGTTTTTGAATGCTTCTGTAGTCTAGTTCGTATTAACAAATACCTCGTTATCAGGTTGTGGGAACCTTGGGGTACGCAGCTCCTGAATACATTCAAACTGGTCGTCTAACATCCAAGAGTGATGTGTGGAGCTATGGGGTCTTTCTCTACGAACTAATTACAGGTAGACGACCACTGGATCGAAATCGTCCCAGAAGTGAGCAGAAGCTCTTAGAATGGGTAAAACCGCATTTATCCGATGCTAAGAAGTTTCAGTTGATATTGGATCCAAAGCTTGAAGGTAAGAATGCGCTAAAATCTGCACACAAGCTCTCACTTGTAGCCAATCGTTGCTTGGCCAGACTCCCAAAAACACGCCCAAAAATGAGCGAGGTTTTGGAAATGGTGAATAAAGTTGTGGAGGCATCAACAGGGACAGGCAATCCTCAACCAACTCTAAGGAGTACAGAGTCAATGTCAACTTTCGAGGAAACTGAAGCTAAAAGCAAAAGGAGGTTTACGGATGTGAAAATAGGAGATGCTGGCTGGTTGGTTCGTATGTGGTCAATAAAGCTCGTGAAGACGTGCTGATTGTGAAATAATTGCTATTTTCTTTGGTTTTCAGATATACACAAGAATGTTAGATAGTAGAGAGATTGTAATGGATGTTACAGAGACGAGAAAAGCTTGTCGTCTTACTATCTGTAAACTTTACAAAATCTGGATGGATGGAAATGACAATTATGTTATATGAATTGAGATTCAAGGCATTTGTTGTTGTGTTTGAGAAGCCTAGATATTGTGCAATGGAATTGATGAAAATACGCGAAGTTCAACTCCAAATTATGAGAGACAGTGGGTGGCTTCGTTCTTCCAATAAACCTGTTCTTTTTGTCATTGGCATTGTGTTGATGTTCTCAACATGTTTATAAGTGGCGCACATCTTGGTCGCCGCCACAGTGTAATCTTCTGGAAATGACAAACATCACTTTCATGTAGATTTATTTTATGGTGTTCTGAATATGCAGTTTCAAGAATTGAATCGTTTCTAGGAGGTAAATATAAGGTTAAGCTTATTTGTGTTCCTCTGCTTTTGACAAGGAAATATTGAATCAACTTGTTGATTTTCATTCATTCAGAAGATTTTTCAACTGTTAATCAAACGATTACCTTGAAACTTATATTCTCGAAATGCGGTCTAACAATGAGTCTGAATGAATAAAGAGCTTTAGTAATCTGGAATAGAAGTAGCGAGAGGAAAGAAAAGTGAGAAATGTCCATTGAATACAAGCTTTTGAAAGAGAATTTCAGTAACGAACATAGTGAAGAAATAGACTATGCAATCAAAGTGGATATTACTGATGAATAATAACCCGATTCTTTGAGAAAGATTAATATGCGTTTGGCACAACATGCACGAAAAGACGGATAAGATTCTAATTTTTTTATTTTTTATTTTTTATTTTTTTCTCCCCTTCATGGAGATATTTTGGACCGATGTGTGGAAAGAAGTAGGAACTTTTAGTAGCCAACTTGCTCATTATTTTGCATATATCAACTTCAGAAAGCCACTTTAATTGTCCATGTTTCGTGTATTCTTGATCCTAAATATGCCCATAGTTGTAGTTCAACATCGAATTTCCAGTATAACACTCCATCCATGGGTGGTCACGCCTTGACTGTGCATTTTTTGGGAAGTATGTGCTGTGATTGGTTGAGGGAGAGAAGAAAGAATAATAGTTTGGCATTTCTTTTGACAAGTTTAATATAAAGTCGAAACTCTGACGCCTTTCAAACAAATCGCTTTCCTACTTACTTTCGAAGAGAAATAAAAAACTTTCACCGGTAACTTTCAAGTATATGTATTGAGAATATGCAAGGAATAGTTGAATCCGACCAAATAATTTTAAAACTGTGTAAGATGAGATTTTTCTCAAGTAAATGAACTCTTCATCTTTAAAATAGACCATTAGCCATATCGTTTGACATTCCTTTGAAGTACTATTGTGTTTTTTATTTTACGTAGAGTAAAAATATATCATTTTTTTCATGACTTTATTCATCACGTAGCTTATCCTTTTTTTCATTCATGCATACATTATACATATTTTAACTTAACAAGAAAATTCGACAGCCTACATGTTTGACAGGTTTAAAAGTATCTTCTTAGTTAGAAACACACATCTATTTTATAATCTATCATAGTTTGGAAGTTGAATAAAGATCAAAACGTGACCATTTTTTTCCTCGTGAAGATGGGACCATTTGCTGACTGAAACTGCACCTAGATCCAGTGGAATAATTAAAATTCCTTAATGAATTAATTAAAATCACTTATACTTCCATTTGTGTCACATTGTGGGTCAGGTCAGTAGGAAGGGCCAAATTCAGGCAGCAAGGATCATGATTAGTGTGTGTACATTGGACACCAACCAACATTTTTACGCGTTAATAGTGCATCACACCCGAAAAAAATAATAATAAAAAAAATGAAAAGACAAGAAAAAGGAAAGGAATGGAAAACTAGAAGAATTAGCACGATCTATTATGATTTATATGTCATGCTAACATTATTGTGTCTGCGATTACACAAGATTGGGGGCAAAGGAGTAAAGGGTTCACTAGAAGTAAGCATGATCCCTATTTCTTACTTTCATAGTCGAGGGGATTAAAATGAAATGTGAGTAAGAGCGAAGATATCAAGAGAATCATTAGTACATATTTTTCAAAAAATGCGTATTTCAAATTATTAAGAAGGAACATCTAGAACAAATACACCTTTTTTACCTAGTTGGAACCAAAAGAATAAAAGAATAACGTAGGATGGACAATTTGATCAAAACCATTTGGCATTTGCCATACATCAATCACTCGTACCATTGTTTAGTTATTCTAGTCCGAAGAACAAGCGTAAGTAGAGATCGACGGAACTAACCCCTAGGAGCACCGAATCACATCCTTGTCTGACTATTACCTACGAGTTAAGATCAATTAGTATTGATAAAATCTTTGATGCTACGACCAAGTACAAAGAGTGAAAAATCAAAAAAGTTAGCACCGATCTCATTCGATACATATGTCATTACGTTACAATTATTGTACCGCTGGTAAAAAAAATTCTATCTACCACAATTTAACTTCTATTTTTTATTTTCAATCATACATTCAATGGATTCACAAGTACCATTCAAAACTAATTTTTATTTATTTTTTAAAGGGAAAATTGTAGCCACGATCCTTAACCTTTGCATTTTTTGCAGGCTTTACCCCGATCTTTAGTTTGTGCCACCACAAGTTCCAAATCTTTGAGAAATTCGAAGAAGCAGTCCAAAATGACAGAAAACATTAGTTCCATTGTCACTTAAACCTCAAAAATGGAAAAAAAAAAAAAAACAAATTTGGACCAATATGAACATGGGCATTTTCATCCAATTCCATTTTTCCCTTTTAAAAATTCATAAGTCGGTTATATCACTCCTACATTCTCTTTTACGGTGCAAACCCAAACATTCATCTTCTACAAGTCGATCGGAAATACCCAAGAATCAATGAAATTCCAAGAGATATTGCATGTTACATATGAGGCAGTCTTCCAAAATCTATATACGGTACGATAAGTTTTTACATTTTTTTCAAAATTCCTTGTTGTAGACATGTTTTCCTCACAGTGGGTTGCGTAGTGTTATCATGCAGTGCATATTTTCATCATTCTAAGCATGTTATTGATTGGAATGGCATAAAATTTACAATGCTTATTTGCACTTCTTTTGCATTCATTTCATTGAACTATGGTTTGGTGTTGATGGCTTTTTGATATGATTTTTTTTTTTTTTTTGTCTAGAGGAAAATTTAGGTTATTTCACCATAAAGTGACATTACAACGATGTATTACTGACAAAGATGCGAAATTTTGTCTACGGGCATGGGAAGATAGCCTATCTAGACTACGTGCACCTTGATTGATTTAATAGATTTCTTCTTGACAATGCTATGAAGATGCTAAGCTATTTTGAGAAATGACGTATATGTATAAGATTGAAAAGAAGAGATTGAGTGAGGCATCGTTCTAGTTGGTGAAAGTAGTAGACTTTATTAATGTAATAAGGTTGCTTAGTTTAGAATAGGATTGCTAAGATGTGATGTGTGCCTGTTGTTGAAGTGTTGGAATTGCTACTGGGCGACAAAGTAGGGTATGATATTTCAGTTATTGATGTTGACACTAGTGAGGTGTTGGAGGTGGTGGAAGAAAAAGGAAAAGTAGATGTTCAAAAACAATTTGAACATAATATATGCTATGCAATGGAGGTTATGATGATTTTCTAGAGGGTGATGACTTGTATATTGTAGATGACACTAAGAGTAATATTGCAATTGATGAAAGAAAAGTGGACGTAGTTGATGCTCCTACAAGTGAAGTGAGTGATTTACATGCATATAAAGATCATGTACCCGCAGGTAGTGAACTTCATATGGATGACCTTGAATGGAGTGAAGTTCATGTAAAAGTAGACACAAACGCAAATCAACTGGTAGGCCTATAGGTGAAGAACCAGTGGAGGACCTGCATAATGTAATTAGGCACCTGTTGCAAATCACAATGAAAAAGCATTTGATGCAGATTAAAATTACTTTCCTATTGATGAAGCACCTTCTGCTTCACCTCATGTTGATACATCCTCTGTCGATGTACCCCCTGCAGACGCACCCCTTGTTGATGAAAATGTGCCACACTAACACTAGAGAAGGAAATAGAAAATTTGAATTTGAGTAAAGCCTAATGGACGAGTTCAGCGATCTATATTATGAGCAGGAGGAAGATATGCATGTAGATGATTATGATGAAGATACATTTTTTATGTTGTTTGAGGGTTTTGATATTGCTGATGGAAATCTGAGTGTATAACATGAGAGTGCAGTAGGGCATGTAGATGGTGATGGAACAGACTATAATGAGTAAGATAATCTTAGAATCATTCCAAGTGATATTGAAGAAGTTAGTAGCTCTTTAAGAGCCATGAATGAGCATTAGTTTAATCCTACTTCAAATATGCAAAATCAAAAATTTTCAATAGATACGATAATGATATTTTTTGGTGGTTGTATTTTCATATCATTTAAAACTAAATTGTATGAATCTAAATAGGACTCGGCCTTGGTTTAATCTTATAGGCATGAAGTTTGACAACATAAAGACATCAAGGGATGCAGTTGTACAATATTCGGTGTAAAATGTAAGGCAATTCATAAATGTAAAAAATGAAGGAACAAGACTAAGAGTCAAACGTCAAGATAACTATCTATGAGAGTTGTGTGCTTACCAATAGCCAAACAAAAGTTCCAAGATTAAATATTTAGAGATGAACATACATGCACAATGGTTTGGTAGAATAGAAGAGTGCATTCTGGTTAATTGGCAAAAAAGTATATAAGGAAGTTCAGATCTAATCTAAAAATGTCCATGAATAGTTTTATAGAAATAGTGAAGGAGTACTGCATGTATGAGATCTCTAAGCATCAATTCTATAGGACAAAAGCGAAATGTGTAGAGGTTATTAATGAAATTTTGGCTGAACAGTATAAGATCTTGTGGGACTATGGTAAGGAGTTAAAAAAAACTAATCTCGGTAGTACAGTGAAAATTGAACGACAGGGTCATACATTCAAAAAACTATACATATGTTTGGGGACTTGCAAAAAAGTTTTTAGAGCTGGATGTAGAAATATGATTGGTTTTGATGGATGTTTCCTGAAAAGTGCACAAGGTGGGTAGTTGTTGGTTGCAGTTGGTAGTGA